TTCAGTCGGTTAGTAAGGCTGAGTTCTTTGCTTGTTATCCTACATCTACGGATCAAACCGTTTTTAGTAAATCTTACAGTAGATGAAAGGCAAAAATAAAGTGTTAGCCAAACTAGGAATAAAACAGCAAACGCGTAACTGTTGAAGAAAACTATTTTATTCATCTGCAACAAATGTGCATCTCAGTTAAAATTAAACGTATTAGCTTTTGTTAACTATCACATTTTCATGCGTTTTCACTAAAAAGATCAAAAATTTACCATCACCACGTGAGTAGTTGTGGATAATCAAAGGTTTATTTATGAAATTCGCAATTGTTTATTAAAAAAATAAACGGAAAGTCAACGAAATAGGTGATTTCCATGAAAGATCAATATAGCGGAAATATACATGACTAACCATGAGACGTAATTGTTTAAGCGGAAAAAAATAAGCGAACATCTTTACGCGGTCCACAGCATGTATGCACTTCGATCAGTTTAAAGCTAAAAAAGTCGACACCATCCAATAAAAAGAATTTATCTCACTCTACGATAGTTGGTAGCAAATAGAGAAGCTCGTGGCTCCACCTACCACAAGTGTCGTATCGTCAACAAGTTTGTAAACGCTAAGGGAAGTAAGCAAGTTTAGTCATATAAAATTTTTTCTGCAAGTAAGAGAGGCTACTCACTTCTGGTTGATAGCATTGTATCGTCGCTTGGCATCAGAGAGGGCGTCAGGAATATCGACGGGACAGAGGGTGACCGGCACACCATCACGCATCTGCTGCTCGAATTCTTCCTTTGTCAGGCCGAGACTGGCGTAGTTGAGGTTCTTGATGAACTCCACTGCACAGCACTGTCAAGACAGGAGTGGGCGGAGAAGTGAGCATTGTGCAGTAATGGTGGGTCAGATTTTGCGACGAAAGCAGACCAAAAAGTACCAGATTAGTGAAACAGTAGGCGGCCTCGCCGGTGTTAAGTCGAGTGTCGCTGGCAAAACGCGTGATGAATTGAAGATTGGAGTGCAGCAATGGGGGGTTGGCGCGCAGCACGATCCAAATAAGAACAGGGAGAAAGTCATCAGCATTTGAGGGACACTGAGGCGCCATCGGCGGCTGTGACTGAATCTGCTGCTGTCTGACAACGTTGACAGCAGCGGCAGCTGCTGTCGCTACAGTCATCGAGGAGGAATCGGAAGTCTTGGCGTTCAGCCGCAATGCCTTGAAGACCTCGTGGCAGCAGTCGACGATTTGATCAAGCTTAGATTCAGTGGGGAGAACCTCATTTTGCCGAATCAAATCTAAATGGATTCCAAAGATGACCCTTGCTTTATTTACTTTAGTAAATAACTAACCACGTTCTGCTCAAATCTTCAAAAATACTCCGGCGATGACAATCGAGATTTTGCAAAAAAACAACCGATCTAAGCCTTGGACTTACATTACGACAAGGACCATTAGCTGAACCTAAAACGGCATGCACAACGACCAGGTTTTAAAACGATATTCTAAACGAAATAAGAAAATTAGGAAATGGGGAGACCTAGCTAGGGCATATACCGAAGACCACCGCTCTATGGAGCGTAAAACAGCACTCAAGAAAGAGGAAACGCTACCTATTCGAAGGGGACCATAGAGAAGAAGAGTGCACATAGCGAACCAGTAAGGGATGGACCGATGCAGGTAAAAGTGATTAATGGTAATAAAAGGAAGGGAGCGGTTGATCACATAAACACAAAAAACCACGCAGCAAAGGTAACTTCGAAGCACATTCGAGTAAACCGAGGTACTGACCGAAGGTTGTCAAAACCAAAGAATTTGATTCTATCAACAGGATTGAGTCGCTGATGGAAAAAGAGCATGTACTTTTGGAGCGTTGACAGTTGGGCATAAAATTACACATTTTGGTAAGAAAAAACAAAAAAACTGAATATGATTTACTTTAGACAAGGGGAATGGTTAAAGTACGCCACTCAAAATTCAGTCTTGCATTACAACATAATAACATCACAGTCTATTTTCCTGGGAAATACGTAAGATGAAAGTCTAGTCACGATAGAATAGCAACACACACATTGATGACTGAACAATACTACGCGAAAATTCCGACCACATCGACGTTAGGATCTCTACGCTATCAACTGCCATTAGTACATTTATCTGGGAATGGTAAGTAGAATGTATAACTTACGAGACAAATTAGTAAACGAAATTCCACGAAAAATGACTCAATACAGACGTAAGAAACGTTAATGCGTACGGAGAATGGCTGCTTCGAGGTGGCGCAATTGCTGAGGTGAAGAAGGATCAATAGGAGCGTCTAAGTGCTGATGAGATACCCAATGAAGCGACCGAATTCGATCTTGTAGTCTCAAGTCTACTTCCTCATCGTCGGTATTTGAGGGTGTGAAGGCCCATGGATAGATCCACACGGAAAGGAAACGCTCAATTGCATTTAAGAGCCCCTCTTTCTGCTCCGTTGAAGCGTCCTATAGGAAGATATTGCACAATAATAGGTTGAAAAACACAAACTTCCCTGGTACAATTGGTTGGTGTAGACGCGCTGAGCCATGTAACTGTAGAAGTCCTTGATCGCGTTTGAAAACTTGCTGATACTGGCGAGTTCGTTGGCTTCGAGATCTCTTAAAAGTTTTTCAATCTTTAGAATGAAAGATAAATACGCTAGCAAACCTGTTTGTTAACATCATGTCCGGGGGCTGATCGCCAGGTTTTCAGAACTTTATAGAATTCTGCCCTGGCTTGTAAGGCCTCTTCGGGGATGTTTGAACCGTACTGATCACGACCTAAAAAGTTTAAAACCAGCAAAAAACCACCTCTTTGAATTTTTAAAATGTTTCTGATAGTACCAGAACTTTTTCCTGCGACCTTTTTGCGTTTAGCTTCGAAATTCGCAAAAGCTCGGGAGGAAGTCCTCGACATTGCGCGAGTGTTGCGCAGGTGTGCGTCTGACTTATTTTGAAATTCTCTATAACACCTGGAACAGTAGTTATTCCAGGAAGGATTTCCATAGTATCCGCAATTATTTTTACAGAGTATGCTAGAACCCGGAACAACCGTCGAAACCCGCTCCATCTCGGTGCAGTGAAAGCTGCGGTCACCAAACGTTAATTAAAACACGTAGATAGTAGTGGTCCAAGTAGGTCATGAAGCACATTGTTCTCGTACACTGCCAAATACAAAAACTAAATAATTTTAAAGACTTTATTGACGGTAATTTACAAAATTTGTATGTTTTTAAATAATTTTTTATTTTCTTCGTAATCTATTACTCTTATATGCAGCTTACTAATTCTACATAACTTAAAGAACCGTTCTAACATAACAATTTTAGGCCAATTTTTATCTTGATTTCTAGTAAACGCATATTCGGGGCGAGTTTCAGCATTCCCAAGCTAACCTTGGACGTTGTAGGACGAGGCTCGTAGATCTCGTCTTCCCTCTCCCTTATACGCCCAGAACACCGAGGTTAAATCGGTTTCATCATGCTTATTGAAGTAAGCATATGAAGAGAGCAGGTACAAGTTCAGAGGGATGTTAACAGGTAACCTTTCTCCGGGTTGCAGGACGTTGACCCCCCAGTCACAAGGTTCCATTCGTACCCCTGCCTCCGCTCTGAAAGAAACATTAAGACGACATAAATATTACAATGTAATAATTCGCCGTAAGATAAAAGAGCATTTGAGTGGCATGCTGAGGGATTAGAAGTATACTGGTATGGCTTGAAGGCATGTCACATAAGTCATGTCCAAGGCGCGCTTAATTTTTGCTCCATTCCTGACGCTCCTTATGTTCAATACCCTACAGCAGCCATCGTAGCATTAAAGATGCTTCAGAGATCACTCGCCACCCACCAACAATGACTATCTAACTTGCTTTATTGTGAGGTGTCCCATCTTAATATTACTGATACACGGCGGATCCCCACTGTATTCAGGGTCTCATCCTATTTGTAAACTGCCTTCATACTGCTCAGGATGGGGTCATACTCTTCAATAGGACCATCTTGTAGGTCAATCTGCGTTGGCATGGGAATTGCCCTAAAGGTAGGACTATTTGACATAGTTGAGATTCGAAACAGATTGACGGAATCAGCTTTTCACATCTACTCTTCATCATCGCATTGGTATCATTTTAGTGGACCTTAGTTATCTGTCCACTTGAGTTCAATTTATCTGGTATATCCGTGGAGGAGGTTTGCCTGTTCACGTAAATATCGTCATAGAGGTGCCGCGATCACCTCCACAACGGTCTTCTCCAAAACAATTAGTTACGGTGCCGCTTGATTTGTTAATAGTGTTTTTGTAGAACGCGGAATCAAAATATTTGCCATAGTCATTGTTAACACTTCTGCAGGGAGATGTTGCAGTTTCACCCATCCGAGGCAGATGTCAGTCTTTGTGATATCTAGGTGGAGAAATCAAGATAGTTGTCCTTTTGGATAGGGTTTACTAGCAGCTGCCACCGATGCAGTACTCCAGGTCAGTTGGGGGGGGAGGGTATCAGCAATCTAAAGTGTTATGGAAGAAGTATAAGTGACTATTGGCAGTGGAAGAGAATCCCTCAATCTGAATTGCGCTCTTAGGTAAAAACACAATTCAACAAAGTGCCAGATCATTGCAGCGTATTTGTGTTAACAGTTTGAAAACAGGCGTCAATGAAAAGTCCTATGCAGCAGAGATAAAATGACTGCTGTGAAAATTGATATGATTTGCTAAGCGTATATTGAGCTTTGCCTAAGCAGATTCCTGTCGGAGTGACGATTTAAAAAATTCTATCAAAGAATCTATTGGCCATAAGTTTGCTAATTATGTTTTAAGTGAAATTCTGACGTTGGAACCCGTGCCAGTATGGAGGATTACCAATGCCTAATGCACAGAAGTGCTAAAAGTGCATCGACACGGTCCAATGACTATGCTGTGGTGTAGGAATATATCCTTTAAAGTCTAAAGGCTAAAGGTCATACAGTTGAGCAAAATACCAAGGCAATAAAATGCATTTCATGGGAATGTGCTTATCCTTGCTTTCCCAGTGTGTAGCAAAACCCCCACTTAAGTTTATGGTTCCCGAAATACTGAAGCTCCTCTCCAAGTCTTCCTTGAATTCGTAATAAGCCAAAAGTAGTTTAATGGAACATATATTTCAAATCCATAGAAGAGCAGGGAGGCTACTGGGCTGATGCGATGGTCATGCTGCAGGGTGGTAGAACAACCTTCAGACAGATAAACGAAATACCAAATCATCTCAATGCACTCTTTGGTGCCTTTAACAAACACAGTTGAAGGGTATGAAATAAGTTTAGTGGGTGTTCTTAGGCTAGGTTTGAGTAGTCATTCTATGGGTACTTCTATTTTATAAGCGTCATACACTTGAATTTGAGCCATTTACAACTCTTATTGGCCTTTTCACGTTCTGAACTCTATTACGATCGCATTTTAAGAGATTATGGAGACTTAGTCTGCCGAAGATCGTGGTTTTAGGAGAATTAGTGCTAATACGGTGTTCACACTGCCCAATCACAATGGTGAAAATGGTTTAAGCTATGCTAGGCCGTGTGCATGTGTGAAGTTGGCACGAATGTATGGGCTAAACTATGTGACTGCGTTAAAAAAATATTCGCATTTTTAAACATTGGTGACAAAGTAGAATAAGGTGTCTTATCTCAACATTCTCTTAATTTGTAGTTTTTTTATTTCTGGACCATTTTTGAGACCTCCAAGCGGGTGATCAAGAGAAAAGGAACTCAAGATGAACGCCTTTTCCGACTAAGGTGGGTGTGCAGCATGGTGGTGCGGAAGGAGGAAGCCACCGCAACACGCATCCCAATCCAAGTCAGTCGGCCGGCTTAATCACGCCTAATTACGATGACTGTCAGCCTTAGTCTGACTGATCTCAGGCAATAAGGGGGAAAGGCCAGGGGGAGTTCCTATGATGCTCACCAAAATGACAATGAAAATAGAAACTACTAGGGATTGGCGCAAGAACAGCGATTTTGACTAAAGAAAACATAAAATTGGCTTATTTGAGTGGTTTACAGATGCCCCTTGAGGCTCCATGCCCAGTTCATGAGATCAAACGTCGGCACGAACTCTTCCAGAATGTTGTGGAATGAGGTGTCAAAGGACCAAGTGGTTTTTCTCATTGAAGCTTCTAGAATCTCGCAATTGGAAAGCAGTCTTGGGGTTGTAAGAATATAAATAATTCGTAAACAGCAACTCAAGGAGTTGTAAAGTGCATATAAGAATATTCGACTGAATTCAGGGAAAATAAAAAATTGTTTGGTCAGAAAAAGGTAAATAGGTAGGTGATGGCTATAAATCGTAACACTTTATATAATTCTTATCTTACGTATCTAAGGTGTCCACCTACTCCGATCATTCGTTTAAGTATGAATGATTCGATTGCATTCTCTAAAAGTATAGAAATTATTAGCCGAAAATCGGATTCATATTTTAATCTAATAGAAATTCAGTCCCGTATTCGGCTCAAAGTCAAGAACATTTTTTTCTAAACACCATTAAAAAAGGCACTGATCATAAGCTTGTGCAGTAGACATTCATAATTAGAAGACCCCGGGGTTGATTTTTCCGAATCGCCAGACTTACTTTCTATAGCACACTCGCCTTCAGGACAGTAGCTGCACTTCTGTTGGCTCGGCCGACCATGGGAGGCATATACCATCATCTCCCGCCCATAGTCACTGTCTTTGGGGTAGTCATAGCTATAGCCGCCTCCAAACTGGTTTATCATGTTGCCCCCACTAAAGCCCATCATCTCAAGACTACTGCATCCCGAGTCCTGGATTCCGAAGTTAGGATCCATGGAATAGTTGAGCACTGGTCTACCAGGAAAACCAGAGGGATCGAATCCGCCAGCATGAATGCAAATACCTCCGTGGTAGATGTAGGAACGGATGCCCTTGTAGCAACCGCAGCCTGCATAGGCCCCGTTATGGTAGATGGTCGTTTTGCAATTCTGGAAGGTGCATGGAATGCTTTGACCCATCCAGCTGTAGGCTGGGATGGAAAGGGGCCCAATCACAAAAAGACAAATAGACCGACTTATCCCGTATTGGATTCGGTGCTATGGTCGCTTCTGATTAGAGGCACCAAATACGCGACTGCAGAAGGTCGATGCTGATTATTTCCAGAGGATATGAACACCGATTAAGAAGTGGCACCCATATTTAAGTGATCTTGACAGGAAGGAGAGGGGGAAGGAAGTGGCTGGGAATGTTAGCCTGTTGCTCAAGGATGAGTACTTTGACAATGTGATCTCAAATTGGCCGTTATTTTTACATAAACGTTATAGCCATCAAACATTTAGGCCAAACGATAGTCAGCAGAATCATAGCTGGTAAGTCAGTCTCAAAATGTAGTAGGTTCAACTGCTAAAAAGTATATTTTAGCCGACCTAACTGACAAATTAGCCCTCAATATAACAACACTCAAAGGCACTCGACCCACTGAATTCTCAAATGTATCTGCTAGCATTAGTAGTAACTCCCAAACCTCGAATACTAAGTCAATTTTAGTGTACAGTCACGGTGGAAGCTAGAAGTTAAATACGGAAGGCCTAAGTGGTGATATACTCGAATGCGGGAAAATTAAACCAAATTAAAAAATGAAATTCTGGCAATTTTAACCGAAGAGAGAAATGGAAAGTAGTCAGTGAAATGAATTACGGAAGAACTTTAATCGCATGTACGTTAAAAAGCACCGTTATAACAGCCTTAAAACAGCTGATGTTTTTAGCACTCTCAGTCTTCCCTGGAGTAGTAGCAAGCCAAAGTTCTATGGAAGGACATGTAACAAAGTGCAGATGAAATGGAAGGCTATTAGCATGGACCAAAAAAACTTGGCGTGTAGCACCAGTACAAATCAGAATGAATAAAGTGCTCCCGTAGTCTAGCACACAGTCGGAAAAAGATACTAGATCAATGCGGTAATTTTATTCTGGCAACAACATTAATCTACAATTTTAGTCATCTTTTTAAAGGGGATATTAAAATTTATATTTATTTTCCTTTGGTTTGGATGTGCTGGCAATCTTTTCTTCAAAGAATAAACTTGATTGGGTTCAACTTATTACCAGAAATGACTTGGATCTGCAATTCTTTATAAAATAGTGTAGTAAAGTCCCAATGTGGTCAACATTGTTAGTAATAGCCTTCACAAACTTCGAGAAATATACGCCAAAAGTTGTCTACAAATGATCAGCTGTATAAAGTGCAAGTAGGATGTATTACAAATGATGTCGTAGGTGTGGAATATACACATCTGAACAGGGCGAATTTGCTTGATATTGGGGAGAAAAATCCAAAACCTAACAAAAAAAAGACCTTTATATTTTTATTATCGACCTTATAAATCATTTTATCACCACGAACTGTCACTTAATGCATCAAGCGCATAACTTTTAGTGTTCTAGAACGTAATGTAATACGATGGTTGTTTATCTCTCGGTACTGGCGAGGGGCCATTGTATCACACCGAGTGGACTGGCCTTTGAGACGTGCCAGAAGCCCAAATACCTTTTCTGTAGCAAATATATGTAGTGTGCTCAAGTTTACTGTCTTCTTTCATCTTCAAGGAAGTCCCGGGGCGCTACAGTAGTGTTCACGACTAGATGTAACTGAAGTAATCTGTCTTAATTTAATGTCAAATACGGTGGCAAACCAACTGCTTAACCTTAAAAGAGATGAATTTAAGATGTTTAATTAGTAAATGGACTTTGACTTTAGGTAAGCACAAATCTACACCCATCATACTAGAACAGTCATTCAACCACATAAGTGGGCCTAAATAACAAATCATAATTGGTAAGAGTAAATTGCAACACACATTACATTGTTTAAAATATGGCAACACAAAGGACTCAAAATTTTGAGTTTGGGATTCAAGTGAACTAAATGACCTTAATTTTTCAGAAGCTCGCTCGAAAAAATGCGTGAGGTCGGTTCGGTTGACCGAAGGTTTGTACGAAAGTCTGGGCTTCTAACAAATACTATTCCTTTGTATATTAAACATGATAAGTAGGCTCTTTTTCCAGGTCCAAATTGTAGTGTCATCATATATGCTTCTGACAAGGTTATATATGCCTGCAGTTGTGACTCAGATAAATTACTGTATAAAGTTCCCGTTCATAGTGACCTGATTACCCAATTATGGATCGAATCAGCCAAGGTACGCCTGTAGGTCTTTGTGCTTATTTTATTCTAGTTGTTTTCTTGTGGCTTGGACGGAAAGATTATAGTATCCGACATTGAAGATGGCCACACTTTATCCGTAAGCTGATGGAGAGTTAACGGCATATTCGTAGAAAATAATTATGCGCAAACCGATTTCTCGTATTGCCCATAGTCATAATACATATGCTTCCTTACTGGGACATGGGAAATCAAGTACCGTTTTTTGTATTTCATTTTCTAGAATATATAAGTATTTCTGATATATCATTTCAAAACGGCTGTCGAATTTTTCCTGGAATCGAAGTTGAACACTTGTTTGATATCAATGTGAGTTCCCTTTTCACATATCAAATTGTTTAGGAACACTTTGTTGCTGCTGTTTCAAATACTAAGCTTTACTTGCATTGGTTCAAATTCAACGATTACACATGGTGAGTTTGTTGTGCTTGTTAAATGGTTTTCTAGCTACACCTTCCCTGTCGGCGAGAAATCTGCCGCAAAGGCCTACAAATGTCTGACGTGTGTCGCATGTCACCCCACTGAAGCCATTGTTGCCACAGGAAATGCGATGGGTGAAATTATGATTTGGTGGAATCTAACTACTACTTCATCTAACCTTTTTAATGAAATGCATGTCGAAGGAGGTGAGGACGGTGACGATGACAGTTCTGGTGAAGATGAAGCCGATGTGGGGCATTTCCACGCCATCAACAAAAAATTCAATTCTGGGTGGCGCTTGCTGCACCCGAAACACGTTAGGCGCTCTGGAATGCACTGGCACAACTTTGTGGTGACAGCTCTTGCTTTTACTGGTGAAGGTTAGTGTTGTATTGGGCCAAATCCTCTTACGCTTTCGTTTCTTACGGGTTGATGTACTGGCTTATCCTCTCAGGAAAACATCTTTACAGTGGAGGTATTGAAGGTGTTCTGGTAAAGTGGGACTTGACGGATTGTTTTGGCGGCATAAAGAATCGCCGATTCCTTTCAATGCTGAATTCGCCAATCCAAGAAATCAGCTCACCGGGTGGCGATTCGGGCGATTGCGCAGTAGTTTTGCTGGAGAGGAATTGTAAGTTTAACACTCTTGGGTCTTGAGACCCGTTTTTTCCATTGGGGTTGTGTTGCCTGGTATCTGCCTTTACTTCAAAATTTATTTGTCACTGGCGAGCTTTCCGGTATTTGGGTGCTTATGATGACATTTTCAGATAAATACCAGAGGATTTTTTAGAATAAACTACTACTAGATCTACTATTTCCTATAGACTAAGGCTAAATTAGGGGCAATTTTTGTTATGGTAATGGCTACGTTTGTACACGATAGTAGCCCTGACTCGACCCGATTTCCCGTACAACTTGAAATCCGTATTCTCTATCTGATCGTAAGTGTTGTGCAAAATCATTGTTGACACTACGGGACACAACTATCCATGCAACATGTTTATTGAATTTTCACCGTTTTCATGCTAGAAACTGTTAACCTTGTCAAAGCGTGATATTCCTGTTGTTTATGTTCACCAACGTACAAATCATTTTTGTCCTCAAGAAGCACATGCTTTTCTAGATCGATCTTGTGGAGATGAAATGTCCTAGGGTTAATTTACTGCAAAAGAGCTTTATTTAAACTTTTAGAATTTATTGTATAGATTAAACAATCTTTTTTATTCTTTTAATGCGCACCACTTAATGTTTATGGGCTACATGGCTTTACATATCTTTATATGTAAAAAAGGTGCTGAATCCTTGTAATTTAGAAGTGTTCCTGGCAGGCACCAGTCGACAAAATGAGTGTTTCTAGGTGAGAATGGGAGTTAATATAACGGGCTTGTTAATTTAATCGAACTTCAGCTATTTTTTTTCCAATTTAAGGCTTTTTCATAGTGAACGGGGCCATGCAAATTATTTACAAGCACATGGGACTTGACCAGATTCCACGACGTTGGCGAGCTTTCGCTGCGCGGCAGTCACGCGCGCTCACCGCACTCAGTCTCCCAAATGCCGAGGACGCCGGTACCCACGATGATTGTGGCCACAATAACGACGATAGCACGTCCGCCTCCCTTCTTCTGTCTGGCGCATTGGGCGGTCTGCAGGTGGTCGACCCCGCTTCCGCCAAAATCCTTGGTTCGGTAGGGTCATTCAGCCAGCAAGCAATTAGTTCTTGTTTTTGAGGTGGCATGGGACATAGGGGCTAATAAGTCCATTATTACTAGCTGAAGCCAAATTCGACTCTCTCGAAAATATGCAGCGCAAGTCACTAGGGTGATGTTCGTCTTCCCACGTTCTTTTGATAGGCGCAAATTCCTTATTTCTGCTTGGGTTATTCGTACAGCTTGTCTAATTCGAATTGAAATCGAAGTGAAACAGAATATCCCTCATCTCTGCTTTCAGATTAGTACGAAAACGATGTGGCAATATCGTTTCAACATCCCTTGCAGACTGCTTTGAAATATCCAATTTAATCATTTAACGATTGGGAATATAATTAGTTTTTAGCAACTAATTACCTTACTCGCCATACACAGTCAAATAAGTGCGCATTAACTTGTCAGAACAAAATAGGCCATGTTTTAGGCTTTAAAAATTCTGCTTATTTGTTTTATTTGTCGTCTAGATGGATGTAAACCAGCGGCACTACGTAGTGTGCGACGCGGTGCCGTCGCCGCTGGTTTCCGAGGTACTCTTGGCAGAGGCGTGGCAGGACGGCGAGTGGGTGGCCACCTATGCGGAACTTCAGCTTCCCCGACTCCCAGTGCCGCGTCCCCACCTCGCCGGCCACAGCTCAGACAATCAGGCCCAACTTGTCTGGTGGAGGCGTGTGCGTCGCCGTGACCAAGATGCCCCTTCCTCCGGGTGAGCCCATTGAAATTGGCTTCTGCGTTTGGTTTTGCCAATCCAAATATCGGTATATGCCTCGAATTTGGTGCGATTGTTTTTGCGATTCCAATTGGTGATGATTGCGAGGGGATCCTGAGCTTTCTGAGTCGTATTAAGAACTAGAATCCGAGAATATCTTTGTCCTTTTCTTCATTGTCATTATCACAGAAATTGTTGTTGCAATATTCGATGTTGGTGCGATGCGATTTGATGTGATGTGATTTCATAAGGCCGTTTCTCATAGCTGAAAGCATTTGAGGTCACGGATATTTACAGCATTTATAAATGGGAGATATACAAACTTTTATGTCGTGCCGGTCGAATAGTGAATGCTTTACGAACGGATGCCACGGAAATTAATGGCATTATTGGCACTATTAACTGGTGAAATACCGGGAATAAAGTCTGTTGGTTATTCTGAGTGTCTGTTCTGTTAAAATACTTCGAATTGTCAGTGCTAAATAAAGCTAAAATTTGTTAAAAAATGGTCACTATTGCTGATGATTGACGTGATCGAAATACTTGTTTCAGATTTTCGATCTATCTTAACCTGGAGAAATTTTCCCTCTTATTCGCACCAGATTTGAATATGAGGCTGTTTTCGGTGAACCATTGGCCTACCTTAACTGTCAAGCGACCGATTTGAAGTTCACTCGACATCCGGATGGACCACAAGGCTTCCAGACTCTGCTCATCTTGCGCGACCAGCGAGTCCTCGTGTGGCAGTACAACTCCGTCTCAGGTATGTTTCCATAAGGTAAAATGTCTCCTACTATCAACCGATTGAGGTATTGGCGGGATTTCCGGTATGGACCGCTGCAATACCTTGTGTCTCGTAAGAACGTGCAAGGCGTAATTATTAGTATGCGTTGCAGAGCATAGACGTGCTAGCACCCTTGATTCGTGGTGTCTATTGTTATTTTCTCATTTTGAACCCTCATTATCATAAATGATCGATTGAAACTAGTGGCTGGGACTCGAGCCTGTCTGCGTTGCGAATCAAAGTGAATTCGACTCCAGGACTGCGGAAGCTTCCGACAAAATGGGTTGTGTAACATTTGGGGAGGTTGTGATATGTAGTATCAGAATGTGCTACCCAGAAATAGGTCAAATAAAAGGTGTGGCTCTGGTGACGAAACCATCAAGGATGCAGCACGTCCAGAATGGTGCCTTATTCTTGGCAGTGGAGAGTTGCGTGGCGATGGTAGTTAAAGTGAATGGAGGTTGTCCTTCCAAGACCAACTTGCAGTGTTGTTTAGTGGAAGTGATGAAACGTTTGAGTTACATCTACATCAAGTGAGGAAGTTGTGGAGGCTACAAACCAAATGAGCGCCACTTGTCATGACTTTGTAGATGACGGTAATGTTCGCTGACTATCAGTTTGTTCGGCACTTCTTTCAAGGCGTGCATTTGGGGTGGTTTGTCGATTGAGCTGTAATGAGAAATGGCTTTTGTGTTGCTACGTTGAGTAACCAGACGAACATATAATTGGTTACTCCCAAACGATTCACTCACTACCCATCTCCCAGTTCTGAGGCGCGTATGTGGTGCTCTGAAGACGTAATTACCCACTTGCTGGAGGCCAATTGGTTATGGCTGAGATGTATCTGCTGGGTGTGATAGAGCTGAAAGATGTGATAGAAAAGACTTATTGGGGAAGAACCAGGACTAGTAGATAAGTGGAAAGAAAGTCCTGTTTCTACAAGGGATCACATCGCAAGACGTCATATCTCGTGCTTGTGAGAAGATATGCACCTTGGTAGTTGGGGTGAGAGGGGAGGGTGTCGCTGGTTCATCCTCAACCCCTGTATTCCTCTGACATTTCTCGGGATGGTTGTTGCCTTTTCTTGGCATTAGTCGAATTACACGATCGCGTTTGAAACTCTCCAGAGGCATTATTTAGGTGTGTAGGAAGTAAGGGTTTGGATTATCTGTAGTTGAATGATAGACTTACATTTGGTTGGAAATTTAATGCAATATTATTTTTTTCCTTCGCATAAAATTATTTGATTTGTTGAAATATTCGCCTTTTCGTTAGTTTGCTTTGCTCCGTCTATCACTTCAAAAACATATTTGGTAAAAATGAGTGAGAGAGAACTGGATATAGCAAGGGCAGGTTTGGTTGTGTGTCTAGAATTTAAAGGTTGTGCGAATTTGAACTCTTTACGATCTCATGTTTGGATTAGGAGGTACTTGGAATTGCAGTGGTGATGCCTTTAGGCAGTAGAGTACTTTGGAAATTTTAGTAGCTACTTTTTATTATGCGCAATCATATTAACTTATTTGTTTGCTTTTCTTATTTGAGCTACTCTCCTGTCTCTTCAGATGTGCAGGCGTCTCAAAAGCCTTGGAAGTTGACAGCATGTATTGCCTCGAATCCCGATCGAATTTTTTATTTGGAGGTCAAAGAGACTGTTTCACCAGCGCCCTCAAAACTCTGTATCTTGAATTCCGACGAGGAGTCCACAGGAGAGCTGATGAGGAGCCGGGAAGAGGCTCTTGCCGCCTCGAAGGAGAAACTTCGAAGTATTGTAGTTCGTGCCACTGGTCTTTCTCTGAATTCTTTCATGTGGATTCGTTGGCAGTCAGGTTTGTCAAAAAAATTGATGGATTTTGACTTTTAACTTTCGAAATAAAATGTGTAGGATGAATCTAGTGATATACGTTTACTCTCCAAAAATTAGTAGATATCTTTTATTTTTGTTATATTTTATGGGTCTCTTGCCTGTGACTGGCGTTGTTTGTTTCATACCATTTATTGAGATGCCGGATTTCACTTGATTGATGCGTAACTTTTCTCGGTTGCATTATATTTTAAAGTGCTTACTTAAGAGATGTCACATCAATTTCGAAACCTGGTTCCCACAATTCTTATTTTCGTTAGAGATGTAGGGAGATGTCGGCAGTCATCATTTAATCTTTTAGATGAATTTTTATGACACACCATCAAAGAATGTTTTATCGCTTGGGTGAATAATGTCTCGGTAATTGATAGTTATCATAATTTAAGAAATAGTATTGCGCATTCGACCTTGTTTAAGTTTTTTGCCCCATTAAGGTAAATTTCCGACACCTTAGGGAATTGACCAAACCGTAAAACCAAGTTTTGCGTAAATTCCATATGAAGTAAGGACAAAACATATTTTTAGGAGTGGATTGTAATCATACGTTAAATGAATGTCTTTACAATGCAAGTAAAGTATATTTTAAAGTTTACAAACAACCTTTTACCTATGATTTTTTAATCTCCACAAATATGCTTCAGAGTAGAAACGTTCATCTATAGTTGCAAGGCGCTTCGACCACAAATGAAATATTTAGCTGCGCGATACCTGCAGTATAGCTGGAGAGTTTAAATTTAACTAATGAATAGCAGCCCTGGAAATCGAATAAATCTGGACTCATCTTTAGTACTGTGGATTCACTTCAAATCTTTAGCGGTCTCAGCTCTTACATTCCCGGCCTTAACATTCAAGTATTATAATTATCGAGATTTATCGAGAAGGTGGGAGCATTAGAGATTATAAGTCAAGGTAATTAACAGCTGTATAACGATGTACTAGCCGTCGTCGCCTCTTTTTGCACCTCAATACAACTTCTTTCTGCAGGTTCCACCGTGATGGAGGATATGTTACCATTGGATGCGTGTCACTTACCCTCTTGGTCCGACTGGAAGGTGGGCAGCTTTCCAGATGAGGTCGTTGAGATCTGCCAGCTGGCGGTACTGGACCCCACTAAGCGCCTCTGCGTCGCCCTCCTCCGTCCCGCCTTCACCACCAAGTCGAAGCGTAGGGACGCTGACGGTGCTCTCTGCCTTCTCGTTGTGGATCCACGGGGCCGCCTTATTCCCCGTACGGGCGTCTTTGACCTCGCCCCCACTGGGGCTTTCGCCGTTGATCAGACGTGCGGTGTCGTGGCCGTTGGACTGATGAATGGGTCTTGTATGTTTGAGTCGACTACTTAACATTTTAGGATGATTAATGAGATTGTTAAGTCGACATACGGTTTGATAAAACTTTTTGACGAAGACCGCTTTGTGTACAATTATAACTGCATTTTACTCACATAATTTGAGGTAAAACAGATAAGTGGGTAACTAGCGTCTCTTGTGTAGTACTTTTCAACAATCGCTTAAAAGAAACTCATAATTTCGAACTTCTACCTATAGTTGATTTCCCTTCGATGTATCATTAATTTTATCAACCTTTAGTTGTGCCATTTAATTCCAATTATATGCTCTCACTAAGATTTACCCTTCCCCAAAGCAACACTTTTCGTATGTTAGAGTCCTTTTCGATTATCATCTCATCTTGTAGAAATGTATTTCATTTTCAGTCTCGTCGTATTGTCGTTGTTTTGTGTACACATTTATCCTGATTTCAAGTCATCGATGGTATCCAATGATTAGAATGTTATTTGTTATTAACTTATTTTGGACAAATCCCCTTATTTTCATCACACTTTAGCGGTGTAGTTTATTTTTCCGTTTCCTGTTTTTTTTTCGGATTTACTGAGTTAGCAATCGTAAAAACTCTTCGACTCTCTAAGGCACTTCTTATTCTGCAGTGGATGGTTGGAATTTTGAGCACAAAGCTAGAATTAAAACATTTTTATTAACTGAAGTATGTGAACGCATTCCGGATACATATTTATCAAACATGCTTTTAAAACGATATTTGTACTCTACAATTTTGTTTGTTTGATTGACAAATTCAATTTAAGATGGAGATAGGCATCGTTTTAGATTGCTTAAGTCACACTGTTAATAAATCCGCAATCGTTACCACAGGTAGTTTTATGAGGTCTTTATCGTACCCTCGCCATTATCACCTCTACTTAACTGGTTTTTACATGAGTATTGTTGGGATCTCAACTGCTTCATAGTATGTCACCAATATCGTTTCAATTTATGTGAATTGAAAACTCTCAGTAGAGGTATTTGCTAAATTGGTGTCTTAATTCCATCTGCAATTTTAATCCTAATGCTAGAAGTGTTTTTCCTGTTTCTTACGCTATTCCTAATTCACTAATCAAGTGATGTTTTGAAGGTTCTCATAGTAAGCTTGTATTCAGCATGTATTTAGCATTCTGATCCCCTACGCCATGGCATCGTGTTTTGCTTGTCTTCTTTTTTTTTATTTCTTAAAATGGGGCCCCTTAGGCTCGTTACTGGAAGTCATTTGGTATGGGATTAGGGAAAATACTACTTTTTGGACTGTTTAAATTTATAAGCCAAGAGAATGCCTTTTACGTACGACTTCAAATAATAGAATCATGTTTAAGCTTACTTTTAATGACATGTTAAATTGAAGTAATTTTCTTAGTCTGATATCTCGGTATTTCATAGCTTTTTAGGTATAGTAAATCTTAATTTTTAAAAATATTTGCCAAATGAGGGTTGATATTTATGAGTAGTTATATTTTCTTGAATAATAAACCTGAAAATACCTGAATATCTAAAGGAATCCGTTCTGGGGTCTAATAATACAATTGAGACATTCTTAGTGCTTTATCACCTAAGGGCAGCTGCGCTGCTCCCAAAGTCTGATTAGCCGTGTTTTTTCCACATGTCATGCAGGTGTCGTGTACGATGCTAATCTCCAAATGGTGGTCACTTTGCCTCAACTCCCTTTACTACCTTTCTGTGACCGTCAGCGTCGCAATTCCGACGATGGTAAGCAAAGAAAGCCAGCCCCCACACAGCCCGAAGCACTAGTCTTCCTGCCGTCGAAGACAAAGTCGGCGACACTGCCACCTCTGGCTGCTGTCATCGCTACGGGCAGGGGTCGCGATGCTGGACGTAGGGACCTGGCCGTCTATAGTGTGAAGCCTTTTTCTGCATCGGTGGAATCACTCCCAAGGGTCGGTAGCTTTTAACCTACTGCTTTCCTTTTGGCTAACTTTTTTTAATGAAGGTTGCCTTGTGCTGGCGGTCTAAGTTATCTAGATTTCAATGCTTTATCACTAACTTCAATCTTAATTCGTCTAAGTACGAAGTATTTATTGCATTCACCCAGCATTTAGGCTCGGTATTTTAACTACGGTTTTTACTTATAATACCAGTTGTTTGAGCCTCGTGCTTTGCTTGATCCACAATATATCTGCTAACGAAAGTCTTGGATGATGCAATTTGTTGAAAGTTTATTCGATTTTATCGAAGATTTGATATTAAAATATTTTTTTAAATTCATTGACGTATCATCCTAGTACCACTAGGCGACGGTGATGTTGTAATAATTTAATCGGCAATTGAACGATTTTAATTAATTAATTTTCGTATCCTCGTGCGGACTTGCGCCCTGCGAATTGTGATAGCCTAATCAAGTTTACTAATATCCAAAATTTCACGTATAGCACTGTTTTCCTACACTTCTACCGTAGTCACGAACAGAGACAACAAGTCTGCTTGCGCGGGTGGAGCGCATCGATGATGACGAGATGATGGAGGAGGAGGGTTCAACGCCGGTGGGAGAACATTCGTTGCTGCCGACGCACCGACTCAAGTCTCACTTAATCACGGACGCGGAATTGGTGCGTACCTTGCGTCGAATTAGTCAGTATCCCGTGGACGCCGCTCCACCACCTGAGCAGCTGCTGGCTCAACTCTTCAGGAAACCTGAGCTCTAAGCACACCTCTACTTTGTACGGTGTTGTACCTTTGAAATAAGAATGCACGTTTTGTGCTTGCGTGGGTTTGCTCACAACTTTTTTTTTTCATGTTTGCAGTAAAGGGAATGCAATGATTAGCTAACTTTGTGGACCAGCGATGGGGTGGCACTGTTCAAAGTTTTGGGGGAAGTGGCCTTATGCTGTAAACCAGTTTGCCGCGGGGAAGTGCTGTTGAGTGACCAAACATCTTTTCGCTAACTGTTGATTTATGTATCAGTAGATAGGCGGCATTGGATTGGCTCGGGGGCTGCCATGAGCTTGGCGCCAAAACAAAGGCAATGTGTTTAACATTTTAGGAGAGGCAACATTGTCATTAGAATTGGGTTGAGTAAAAGCACAGAGAAGCACATGTTTTAGTGTATACTAGCAGGAATTACATTTATGTTTTTACGAAAAAGCGTTCTCCAAATACCTATGGATTTACAATATCAGCTTAGTGTTACACTTACTGAGGAGACAATGCGTTTGGGGATTCAATGACGGTTAGGTTTTCCATGCCTAGCTAATCGGCTGTAAATAAGTATGCACCACCTGACTGGTGTTAAGTGCTATCACCGAATCAGTTACTAGTGAGCAATTGTCACACCCAAATGATTGACACCTTGGTAGCCAGAAATTGCTGCTTGGGTTTTTCTAGATTTGTATGATGAACAATAAAGGCGAGATTAATTGAGGAAACAGCACTTCGGCCTAGAGAAGGTTTGATTATACCAAATTATTCTGCTATAATCGATGGGAAATAGGGTATTTGAAGCTAGAAATGAGGAGCCACATAACTTACCTGGTAGGCAAATCTGACTCCTTTGTAATATTATGTACACATCAAGAGTATTATGCTTTGCTATTTTAAACCTGATCATAACGGAAAACACTTGTGAACTTATTATCTTAACCACTGTGCGAATTAATTCATTATAGTAACCGAGCTCCCAATGACGTTGAAACTTATTGAAAAAATACGTAAGAAACGTGAAGCGAGGAAAGGAATGGCAGCTCAACAAAAAGAGACCAAGGGGAAAGGTAACAAAATGAAGGAGGAGTGGAATGATCATCCCAATGGGAAGGACTCTGAAGAGGAGGCAGAGTCTGAGGCGGAATCATATGAAAAGAAGGTCGAAGTCAAAGCGACCAAAAAAGATGGGAGAGGCGAAGATGTCGACGATGACGATTACGATGAGGAATTAGAGGAAGACTCAGATAAAAATGACGATAATGATTCTAGTGAGGATTCTAACACGGAGGAAGAAGATGATGAGTCGGATGAAAATGGCGATGATGATTCTGACGAAGGATCCGAAGAAGATTCTAATGATACTTCCGACAACGATGATGATTCCGACGACAATGAGGATGAATCTGAGGAAGAACCTAAGCCGAAACCAGAACCCAAACCAAAGTCCAGGCCAATGCCAATACGGAAGCCCATGTGGAGGTCTAGGTCTAAATCGAAGACTTCTAAACTCACTAAGAAGTGAAAAATCGAAGATTTTATCATCTAAATGACACACTCGTGACTTTCATCATTTTTTTTTTATTTTTTACTTTGGTCCGTGCCTTTATATTATTTACTCACTTAAATACAAATTAGTATCATTTATTGAGTCTGCAGTAATGGATGTTAGCTAAAAATATCAAGGATTTGGTGCATATGCATGAATTGTTGCATAAAATGACAAAACCTACTGAATGTAAACATGTTTTTTATGGCAAAGAACATGTACAAGATTTCTTCCGTCAACAACTCTAAGCTAACTGCGATGGTGTCCCGGAGGGAACCAAATCATTTTGTAAGGCGTCAATTCTGGAACCCTATCATTTGGCATTGTGGTGAAAGCCGATATTCGTGTAAGTGAAGATTTATAGAGTAAAACTGACTAGCATCGATGTGTTATTACTAACGATGTATATTCTGTAGAGATGTCGTTTTAGTGGCTAAAGTACGCTGCGGCCATGACAACATTAGAGCTTTAGTTTCTCCTTCTTCTTAATATTTTGACCCAGAATTTAGGTAGTATTGCATTTTAAATAATCTTCTTATTTATGGAAAATGGTCGAAGTGGAATTTTTCAAAGTATTCTGAGCTGAAAACAGGAAGGTGAGACCCAACAGTCCAGTAAATAGAGTAAGCCACGAATGATTGTGACTGCATGATGGCTACAGGAAGCATTTAATTACCTATACAAAACTCATGAAGGAAGGTATCATATAACTTTAACTGACGTCAGACTTTGCCACCACTTTTTACCCAAGGATTTGGAAGTATGGTAAAAATCGGGGTTTCATTTATAAACCGGCAAATTCAAACATGATTCTAAAATACTGCACAATTTTGATAGTTAATTTCTAAACCAACAGTCGGAATTTTTAAATCTATCAGCACAATAATTAGGCATGTCTTAGGATTTTTTCCTACCTTGGGGGTTAAAGCGAATGTTATAGCTATCCTAACTGCACTACCTCTGATGAAGCGGAATCACAAAGGTATTACCATCACGGTTAAAGACCAACTTGAATAACTGTGTAAAAATCTGTTTAGATCAAATGGAACTGTCGGACTTGTAGCAGGTATTTTTCGAAAAAGCTTGGTGTTAGCACTTCCAAATGACTTTTATAAGGTTTTGAGTAATGAAAGAAAATGAGCTGCTACAGAAATAATCGCATAAAAATGATTGACTACTTCTCTATGTTTGACTTCACCTACTTGCGCACGTAAAACATACTTCCTGACGACATAATCTGGGCTTTGGTCAAGAAAGATATTAGTAATTTGATATTAATTTAGTGGTGGTTTTAAATACACAGATTCTTTAGACTCAGTAGGCCATCTTCCAACTCTGCGGCACAGATATTCTTCGCTTACTGAAAGACTCGGGACGTTGAAATCGCATCCGTGGCAACTAAATCCGATTTGAATGGCAAATACTCTGGTTTTTATGATTGTCAACCGTAACGCCACTTGGACAGAGCATCTGCTACGGTTGCCTGAAGCTGTGGTTTCTTCCAACAGAAAGAGGTGCTCTGTAAGATTATTTTGCAGTGAGGCGAAGCATAATAGTCTTTTATGTAGGTATCTGTAGTAATTATGACAAAATGTTGATATTTTGGACGACTGACATGCCCCTATGTCTCCACTAACTAAGTGGAGCTCTGAGAGACTAACAGACATCATTGGCACCGAAAGATATATGTATAATAACAGTTCCGTAAGGCTACTTTAAGTCTAGTCATTTAATAAATACTTCCACTGATAAAATCCTCTTAATACAAATAGCAATTGGTGCAGGAAATCCATTCATTGTAGAGCATCGTGCAAGTAGTAATGTAGCGTCCCAAGACTTCCCTGAAGACGAAAGAAGACGCAATATTCATGCAGAATATATATATTCAGCACAGAGAAGGTGCTGGGCCACCGGCATGGCCTGAAGGTCAGCCCACCCAACGAGGTACAAGAAAGCTAATTCAAAAGTACAAAAGTGGCGCCTCACCAATACCGAGGGATAAACCACCATTGTTGTAATACTTATGTTGTTTTAATGTACATTTCAGGGAGGAGGCAATCAGGAAATACGAATCTCGTGATCGGTCCGTCCTCTCCCGTACCTAGTGACTGCGGTTCTTCACCTTCTTAAAAGTTGTACTTTCCCTCTCCATCTTTTCCTCTTTAATAAATACGTCCAAAATGAATCAACCAGGCTCGTCTAAGAACATTAGAAACAGGGGAGTGGAGACCGATGAGTCCCGACCTGCACTGTATCACAGTAACGGCGACGGTGGGATAGAGATGGAATATTATCGCTGATAGAATTAAAGAATTTGTCACCTATATAAAAGCTTTATAGTTACTATTACTGCCTTCACGTCACCTTACAATCATCTTCACTGCGGGAACTAGAGTAATTTGCTCGAAAATGACTTAAATGTGTAATTTATACAAAATGGTTATGGTTTTAGCCAGGGCTAATACTGCCTATACCATATGACACTGTCCAAATATTGTGTTAAGAAAAGTTCAACTACTTTCTAACTTGTTATTTTTAATGTCACTAAGAGCATCTCTAGAGGAGGAAGCTTGGTTTGGTATCCACAACACATCGGCAATAGCAAGAGTGATATTGAATTTCTAAAATGCCATTTTTTAAGTTATTATAATGACGTCGTAAGTGTTTGCGACTTATATAGGGAGCGATTCCTAAACGTTTAATAAGATGGCGTTGTAATCCTCATTGCGGATATAGTTGGTGACGTAATATTGAAAACAGTCTCTTAAGTTTGCATCATAATTTTTGGCATAAAGACAACAATTTTGCAATGGTAGGTGCAAATCGACATACAGACAATCCTAAAGTGAATCCCTTAGCGTGGCAATTACCATTTTGTTAGTAACATTTTTAGGTCCTTGCAGTCTAAAAAAACTCTTGCAAAGTGTATTTTACTGCTATTTTTTCAATATTGCAACAATTTTTTTAAATTCACAAAAAACAGAATAATTACTTGCATCGCCCTTGATTTTGTTCTTACTTGCTAATACCACACTGAATTAGCGTGAAATCCTTTGTATATAAGGGCTAAGATGTTGATTTTCTTCGCCACATTATCAGGTAGTTGAGTTTTCTTTGATAAGTTTTGCTCTTTTCAGTATGTAAAATAACGTAAACTGACGCTATGTTTGAATCTTATCAAAGCGTTTTAAAATAACTTAGTCACTAGACGAGAACGATGACAGCTAAGTGGATCTTGAAATTGAGAAACAAACGCCAGCAGAGAAAGGAGGCCAGAGCACTCAAAAAAGCAAAAAAGAACAAAAAATCTAGTCCTCAAAGTGAAATTCCGAAAGAAGAGGGCGTACCTCGTGAACCAGAGCAGGAAAAGGAGAAAGAGTCGACGAGTGATTCATCCTCCGAGGACGAGTCAAGTGACTCAGAATCTTCTAGCTCTGAAGAATCTTCCGACTCCGAAAGCTCCTCTTCAGATTCTGATGACGACTCCTCCAGCTCTGATGAATCTTCAAGTTCAGATGAATCATCTAGTTCAAGTGACAGCGAATCTTCCTCTGAGAGTGACAGTTCTGAGTAGGAAACGGGGTCGAAATTGGAAGTCTTTTCGATGGATAAATGTGTAACGAAGTACCGAAACTGTTTTTTTAAGAAACACACATTTTTGTCATATTTTTGTACCTCCGTTTTCTGGAAATACATATGTATTGTTTATCCATCCAAACAGGTGGGTGACTGGGCTTTGGTAGAACATATTGCTGAGGTTAACGCGAAAGAAACGAGCTTTGTATATCACTTTAGTTTACTAGTACTGTTGTCTGTAGAAAATAGCACAGAACTTTTGGAACAGTGATGAAGTATTTCCTGTGTAAAATAATGTGTTCACAAAAGTGCGGGTTGTGTTTCGGTTAATCGTCGTTTGGTTATGGCAGCCTTCTGATTGAAAATGGTTTACTAATAAAAGTATGCCAAAATGATTTGGAAACATCAGAACATAGTCTTGAAGATGTTGAATCAACTGCTATCAAATATGATTGAATTTTTGCATGGGACGATACAAGTTGAATCAATGAAGACAATGAAGTAAGCTCTCTTGTATTGCTCGAGACCAAAACTAGTGCTTTTAAGCCCTAAATGAGGCAGAATTGCCTCTGATTTTTGCTGTATTCCAATTTGTGGGCTTTATGAAGTGCTAGAAATGGCCAATAATTGTAGCAGAAGGATGAAAGTAGTCAAAGAGAACTTTAGCAAATCTGGTAAAATAAAGTCTAATCCATCCTGAATGCCTGATATTTTTTTCTGATAAATATGTAGCAGTAGCTGGTTGGAATGTTTCCTGATCAGTGTTGTCTTTCTAGTGACGAACATCACAATTGTCGGTCCAGTAATTGATGAAGAGTATTAAATCTCATTCTCATTAGGAAAAGTGCCATTCAACAAGAGGACATCAACGAGAACTCTGCAGTACAGTGTGTATTTGCTGTGAGGTCTCCGAGCAATGTAACTAATATATGATGTAAAATCTTAAACTCTTTCGTAAAATATCCAAATGGCCCAGTCCTTTCAACCTCTGGAAGTTTCAATGATACCATAATATTGTATTTTGGTAGGAAAATCCTTTGCTTTCCATGACACAACTGTCAAACTTCTGTAAAGTAATTTAAAAACACATTTACTCAGTGTACCCTTTCAATGCTGAGGTACTTAAATACAAGGGAGGAGATTGGGAAAATTTATAATAAGAAATGGTGGGATTTTGACAGACCACTAAACACTCGAAGTGATTTGCACGGAACTTTCGGCACTTATATCGTTCTATTTAATAAATGGTCCATGGGCTACCAAAAGAAGTGTAAGGACGAGTCAAACGTTAGGTCAAAAATACCGTGAAACAAGAGCAATGGATCATACAATTGCAGTCAGTAGGGATGCCCTTCATCAGACTGTCCCTTCCTCCTTTTGTATAATGGTTTTTTACTTTGATATGGCAAGGGCTTTGTCAAATTCAGGAAGCTGTTGACCCGCCTATCCAGCGCATTTGTTGCTCCACGTGCAGACTCCTGGATGCTGATGATTACACTGGGTAGCGCAGATTTTACCCCCGACTTTGCGACTTTCGTGGCATAGGGCACCGGTCTCAGTGCTTTTTCATTTTTTCTCTCACTGATAGGCGAAATATCGTCAATACTTATGCCAGCATTCACTCTGCGAGGTAAGGGCTTTTGATTACATGACAGGTATTTACAATATCCCTTCCTCCATTGTGATGTACTTGTTCACATTACTCTTGGAAAATAGCCTCACCGGTGGTGTCAGTGCTAGGATTTAATCTCAACATAATGAGAGTCAGTCTCGGAGTGACAATTACGGAACCTATTCCATGTAAGTATGGTCACATTCCCAAAAGATGAACTTCCATTCTGGCCTGACTTAGCAGTAGGCTCTAATGAGTCTTGTGTGCTTACCGTATGAGCATCTACACTGCGAATTCTTACAGCAGTACTCAGTAAAGAAAGCCAAAAACAGACGATACTAAAGCCTAACCTATCTTTACAGCACCTAACTTACGAAATAAGGTGGCTGATTTGTTGGTGGAAAACATGTTGCCAACTGCTGTAGACTGAAGTGTGTTTATTCCAGAAGATACTTCTCCAAGCGAACGATATCCTGAATTGTCTTCTATCAAGTCAACACCTGTTCCGTTTTCACCATGTTATATTCTGGAAGTAGTGTCTCAAGCGTACGGACGTGGTGCAAGTGTTATTACTAGTATTGTTCGTCCTTTGTGACGGCCCACAAGTGACTGCAATGTCACCTGCATCGATGTTCAAAATATGCCCTTGGTCATGGTATTTGGGGACAGCCAATGTCAATGTAGGTGCAGAGCAGAGTAAGAAGTAGTACTTTAATGGCATCACTCAGGTTTAGTGTAAACGTTATATTCCGATTTGTTGGATAACCAGGCAGGAAACTGCTAGGCGATTAAGTATTAATGCTTCGCTGTTTTATGCAGGCATAGGTGTGGCGTGTTAGCACAAAACTGAATAGGTTTAAGCCAACTTACCTAATGCAGGTTGATATATGAGCCAACAATCAAAGAATTACTTGCCAATGCGTGATAATAGATGAATAAGGGTATGGCAATTGCCCTACATTATAAAGACCTTTTAAATGCCGTATTAGTAAACCAGACTTTCCTTGTTGGATAAATTGAAGAAGTAAATGTTTAAACTTAACCATTAAGTATGGAATGGAGGTATATCTTCAGGCATCTTTTCAACCCAGGGATTTTAGACAACCGTGAAACACCAAAATATCACCTTTTTACACACGCTTTTGTTATTTTTACTGTGCTATTTTTCTATGCGTTGTATGACACAATTCATGAAAAATGTATTTCTATTTAAACTACAAAGTGCAGCTGTATGTACCTGCTTGGTGTGTTAACATGAACGGTTTCTCGTTTCGAGATTTTCTACTTAAGTATGTTTATGTAAACACCTTGTTAAAAGCCGGTGTCCAGCAGTTTTCCAATTATAAAATGCGAGTCAGCATAGTGGTATTTGGGAGTGTAAAATACATCATTCATAATTAAGAATATCGCTTGCAAGGCCTTATAATGTTCGGTAGTAAAATACGGTAAAAATTAACCAGGAATAGATCCCTCTTCAATGCAAAATTCAAAAACGAGCTCACATCTGGTGAAACCACCTAAAGCTGATACCATTTCATATCACACTAGATTGTACAAGTAAATGGATTATTAATCTGCTTCATCGTTTTAAAAATAGCTAAACCCACGCAGTATCCGTAACCGACTTGAGCTTGCTCGGTAATGGCTTATTAGTAATCTTTGTCAAAGCAGGGTACCCTTGAATCAGAGGGTGACAGCTCATGGTTTTAAATAAGCCGGAATTAATGGGTGAGCCACTGCCACTTGGACTGTTGATAGACTTGTGTAAGAATGCACATCAGCTGGTAAAATTCACTTGTTACAATGCATTTCTAAAGTTCACTAAGTAAGCTTATACTGTATTTAGAGCGGTGGTGCATTTTCGGTAATATAAGATTGAGAAATGACACACTGCTTTTAATAAAGAATGTCTAAGATAACAACGCAACACAATTGGCATTCTAGTAATTCTAGAAGATCAAGGAATTATTAGGCTCATTAGCTAGTCAAAAGGAATTAGAGCGCTGGGCAACTTCTAGATAGATTTAACTTTGTTAATTATGCCTTTATGATTAGTTTAAAGCAACTATTCCTTGAAGTATTTTCTAATAGGTGAAGTAGTATCACCGTTTTACACTGTAAGGAAGTGAATTTAAAAAGTCAGATCACAGTGTTTTTTACTCAAACTAACATTTAAAGTCTTTCCTTCCCAGCTACTGTGATAAGGCAGCAAGGCTTAATGCATGGTAAAAAAAAAAACAAAGAATGCTCACATTGTTAAGTTTGAATCACCAATATCTTTCTTGCGCATGAGACCAATTACAGTAATAAAGCCACCACACCATCACGGAGATTGGAAAACGAAATCAGTTTAAATGCGGTTACAGTGATACCACTCTTTTTCTCTATGTGATAAGCCAGTGTGGTCTTTTCTTTAAATTAAAAGCTATTTACGAATAATAGAGCTGTCAGACTAGGATTTACGAGAAAATGTTATGTTGAGGAAAACTCCTTCACATGTTTACTGGCAGATCCTCAGGGGTAATTCGACCAACATGATTAAGATGTGTTTTATTTTTCTACTGCAGCACCAACAGCTAGTAAACTCAGTTTTTCTCCTCCCACTGAATTGTCTTCTTTCCAATCGAGCGCGACGCATAAATTGCAACACCTAGACTCGGGTAAGATAATTTAGGCGTTTTAGGTATATCACAAGGAACTAGAAATGTACAAAACGAAAAGAAAAGGATTGACTAGTTTTTTACGAAATAACAAAAAATCGAATGACGAAACCTGAAAAATCCTGTTCCACTCATTGAATCATGCTAAATCACAGCAGTATCAAGCACAATGTCATGATGATTGGGATTAACAAATTAGAATGAGGCAGAGTTGGCTATTTTTGCAAAGACGAGAAGAGTATTAGGCTGTAGCAAACTTCTTCAAAAAATTATCAGCGTTCAATGTACATAAGTGGCTAAGTATTCCACTTAAAAGCCATCACATGTTTTCAAGGCTTCCACTTCACTAGATTAACTAAGTGGCATGGGACACACCGTTGCGAAATTTTAGGTAATCCTTTGAGGCGTAAATCTCGATGACGTCACACACAAAATTACAAACAGCGTATATAACCAAACACCGTTGGCAAGCGGTGACTCCAGTGCATCCTTGATAAAATGAGCTAGTAAAGTCTGTCCATACTCAGGGCTCCAATTGTTAAGTATTTTAAAACTTTATTTTTGGAATTCGTAAATAAAGTCATAAATTTAAACAGAACTACTGGGAAGATAAAGCGAGGGAGGGATTATTTAACAAATTAATCTAAACTGCTGTTTAGAACCATCTCTTTTAGTTCGTATGATACAAGTCATATGCATAACTACGAATGATGAAGTGACTCCTAGTTGGGGGAATAGAAGGGAAGATATAACTCATGTAGGTCGATTTTTACGCAAATAAATAGTAAACCCAAAGTTTTGATGACCGACTGATAAGAAGGTAGTAAAATCACTTAATTTTTTTTATTGACAAGGTGAAAGTAGCTAACGTAATGTGCCTTATTTTTCAAAAACTCAAAATTAAGGTGAAATGTAAATAAATGAGGTAAAACTGGCTACATTTCTACCCTTGCAAAGACTAAACTGACCAATAATTTTTTGCCTTTTGAGGAGTGAAAAACAGTGGCGGCTCAATTTTAGTGGACCCCATATTTACACTTAAATGAAGATTGAACCACGTAGTAAAACTTGCATGCTGGTACTGATCAAAAGTAATATTAGGCAAAAAATTAATTGGCCTCAAACGACCTTCACTTGTAGCAGTTGTAGTTTCAGAAAGACACTTAACAGGCCAAATAACAGGATAAGCATAGAGGACTTTCCCTACAACCAAATCCTTCATAAGTGGCGCTGCCTCCTAACTACCATTAAAACAGGAGCATAATTTAGGCGGCATATAGAGATCCTTATTAATCGGAAATTATTTTATTTAATGCTAATGTCTTGCAGCCTCTAACTGATATTTGAGATACATGCCATCGCCACATTCGATAAGGTTTAGGTAAGTTAGATATGAATTGACCAGGCAATAGGTGAGTTTACTGCCTAGGTGGCTTGCTCATAGTGGAAAATATAATAACTCAACCTAACCGTAAAGACTTTTTGACAGACCTCTACTTGGAGTAGGCCTTACTAAATGTGCAATTTTTTGGTCTCAGTGCGAAAGGCATCCCTGCTACTGACGTATCCTGCAAATCGTAAAGCAATCGAAAATCCTTCAAAGCATTTTGCACAATCTTTATATTAAAGCCGATCGCGACACGTAAAGTGGCGTTTCTGCCTGCGTGAAGACAACTTCTTAGAAATAAAATTGCCCGAGTTTATTGCAACTTAGATGATGCTACAACTTCTTCGTTGAAAATTATCCACTGTCTCACAAATATATGTTTGTAGGGAAATTTAGGAAAGCAATAACTGGTGTACAAAACGCAGAAATGGTAAGGTAATACCAAGGTCGTTTGAAAAACCTCATCCTAAAATAACTTTGATTTGACCAAAAAAGGACTACGTGAACTGCGTGTGCAATTGGGGATGTTTAAAAAGCTGAAATGTCACTCAGGAAAGACTGCATGACTAATGACAACATAGAAGAAGAGCTGTTTGTAATTATCCACCATAGTCAGAGAAAATTCTAAAACTTTTTGACGATCCAGAAAAACAGTTTTTGACTCTAAATCTACATTTTTAAACCATTATTTGCTAGCTAGTTTTTGATGAATAAAGGGCCGTACAAATCAGATGGACTGTATAGACTATTTTTTAAGAAATTTTATAGTCAGTTAAATCTACTAATTTACCTGCAAAAAAAATTTGAAGTTTAAAAATTGGACAGAATTTGTTTTTATATAGAAGTAGAGCATATCGGAACTACTCCTTGCTGCGGTAAGAATAAAATACATAAAACAAGGTTTATAATTTTTATTTCTCTACCATACAAACTACACTATTCAAGTGGAGCATTATTTTTAGGTTAACAACTTCTTTTTCTCGGAATCATGTAACAGAGGAAAATGAGAGTCAACGACTAGCAAAAATTTCTGAAATTTTTTGAACGCAAATGGGAATTTTAATTACCCTACAGTGATATCTGCCCTGAATTTTTGCTTTGAATATGCTGCTCGATCAGTCTAACAAACTTTGATGTAAAAGTAAAAGCAAAAATCAATCTTAAAATTAAAATATTCTAAAATTTTGGCAATGCTGTAAAGGTTCCCATCCGTCGACTAATTATAGTTTCGTGGATTTGGCAACCAATATGGAACTTTGAGGCCCACTAGTCCAATGAAGAAGTATAAGGAATTCAAGTCGTCAGGTGAAGCGCACGTATCACTCAAGCTACAGACGATGCAAAGGTTTCATTACAGTCACTTCTGATTAAAAACCTGTTTTCCACTCCCTAACACCTCAGACTTAGGCAGCCAATTTGATCTGGTGGTTACAGTGTCTTCAATGGACTTGTAGAAGCTACTGATAACAAGAGTAGGCAAGGTAAATGCATTCACTGGGTGCTTAATAGGATCCTACGCCATACACCTTGGATCCTCTGCTTAGCACAAGACAAAATAGCCAAAAGAAACTCTTCAATCCAGTTTCAATCGAAAATTCTCAACCTCAGCTAAGATCTAGGGTAAAAATTTACATTTATTTTTTAACATATGCGCTTATTTAGTTTCTGATATACGCTATGGGTGCTTAGTAGTAAAAGATGATATATTTTCGCTTAGCATATGTAGATTTCAATGAAACTTGGCTTATGTACTGCAGTTGGGAATGGACTTTACAATGTCCCTAGAAATTATACCACTGTAATACTGTCCCTTATCTTAAATTAATTGAATGCGGTAAGTGCACAGTGCATTTGAAGCAAGAAACAATGTCTTCTGCCGTCAAAAACTTGTTTCAATTATTATTTTCACAAACAAAATCGTCTTTTAACGTTAAGGCTTTATGGGTGTGCCTGAGCTGCTTAGCATGCGTTCTCAAGACCATTACCAACTGTTGAGAGGAGTACACCTGAATGGAAAAGGCGGATTTCATTTACCAATACCAATTTGTCGAATACGCACTTTTCAAATCTTTACGGCTCCGAATTTGGATAGGCTAAATCCATCCAAAACTTTTCACACCTCCACTTGTGGCGCTACCACAAATGGTGCTTCGATTTTAATGTTCGTTCTGTACGGAAAAATCAACAACTCACTAAATTTTAAATCAATACCAAGGAAAAATTATTTAAGGAGTGAGGCTTTTGCACAGTCGAAGGCACAAGGCCCTGACACTGCACGTTGCGCAGATTAAAGTACGCTGCGCAAATTCAAAAGACTGTGATAAAAAAGTGAAGCAAGTATATGTGCAGTTTCATAATAGGTTACGCCTTAGGGCGTTGCTAATGTGAGATTAGATGAGTGCTTCTGCAGCTTATCAATACTGGTTGATCTCTGAAGCACGTAAATAATACAAACTTCTGTTCCGTTTGAAAGTGGATGATCATTCAGTATACCATCCACCTTTTAGCCTTATAAATTTAAATGCGCGTTCCTAAACTAATCATAATTTGCAGAGGCCTATGCTTTCATAAGGTGAAATGGTAATAATTAAGGGGTGGTTAGAAGTGAATTGTGCGAAATGATTGTGATTTACACACTCCTCTTGTCAAAATTGAGACGCTGTGAAAGAGCCTTTTATAACGCAAAGGTTTTTCGTTGGCATGCATCGAGATAATACATTTTATGGAAGTGTAAAGTGTCTATTCTAAGGTATTTAAAGGTGTGTGCATATAGTTTCTCCCCTAGAAGTATCATGGACAAAAGGTTGCAATCTGTTTCTCCTAATTTTGTGCCAAATCGAGAGTACTTAATTATTTGAGGCATTTTATTGGTAAATAATTGCAAAAAATGGTTTGTACTAAATAAATAGCAGTAAGTGAAGCAATCATAAGAGGACTGAACCTGCTTACATTAGCTTAAGGTAAATTTTACAATATTTCAACTGACGAAAGGTGCAATTAAAAATAGCACACTGAAATTAATTCCCATGAGGTCCGTGTATCGATGAGAACTTACACTGTCTCACGATGTGTTCTACGAAAAAACTAGACAAAATCCCATAAATACTCTAGTTAATGTTTGTTCAGATTAAGAGATTCAGTAACTACTGTGCTCACGTAGTAATGTGTTTGTGATGATTATGAAATTGCATAATTATTCGAGTAGGTGCATCACCTACTAGTGTCCAAGTAAGGGTATTATAAACCTAGTCGTGTAAACGTTTTGAATCTTTTAACCAAGTGTGGAGACTTTCCCAAAATAAAGACAGCATCTTTCGCAATTCCATATTTCATATATTTCACATGTCGTGTTGGTTGTAAATTGCCACGCCTTTTAGTCGTCTTACTACTGACACAGACACTTAGGGCACCCATTAGTTTTAAAAGGGTTTTAATTTGATTCGTGTATTTAATAACTCGCACATCCGCTTTTGATACAATTATGAATTTCTAATTAAACAATCATATTTAAGTTGCAAGGCCTTTAGCACCAACCTCCTTATTCACGAGCCACTAATCCACGGCTATAAGCCTTGGATACGTTGCACTAATTAGAATGTAGAAGCATTAATATATGGTTTTGAAGTAGTTCAGCGTTGTGCGTTATCCACTGAATATGTTGCTTAATGATGGAAACATTTTGCTGAATACCCCAAACTGATTCACTTGTTACTGTAATTTTTCAGGATTCCCACATGACTTCATCAATTTATCAGACGTAACACCTCCATCATCATACTAGCAAAGCAGCTTTGACGTTTCGATTTCAGCTTAATGAGTTTCCATACGATCTTCATTATTTACATTACAATGCCTTTAATACTTTTAAACATAAGCTCACCTTTTCTGCTAAAATTTCCATTTTTTTGATACTGAACTGTAAGATCTCAAATATTATGATGTCATTGTATTTAGACAACCTTCACAAATTCTGTTTTTAGAAAAATGGATTTTTGGGAAATAAACACATTTTTTGCAGAGGATTGTGGGTAATAAAGCAATGGGTAATTAGTTCAAGCCCTTTTAAAGGACAGAAATTGTTCCTAAAGACGCAATACTAGGTTTCAATGCTAACGCAGGACTGGATGCCGTGACACCGTGAAGGTCTGAAGTACAGGTGTAATTGAGTGCGCAATCGAAGTAGGCAACATTCTTTGCATGCCACCTTTTCCTTTGTGGACTTTTCTTATTTGTCTTGGCCACCCTAAGTTATTCGTTCGATTTTAAGTTATCACCAAGACATCAACGAAGGCCCTACAATTTTCCATCACTGCAAGCGGAAGGTCGTAGACGCCGATGCATCATCGGGGAGTTGCACCCTTCCTACAAATTTAACTTTATACTAGTGGAATTTTGCTTGGATTTGGTGGATCCCATCCTTCATACCATTCGCTTCTCTCGGGAGCAGTTGCATAAAACCAATTGATTAGCCTTGTTACCTATACGTGCGACGTTTCCTTTAGGTAACTTTCATAGCATGATTTAAAGTAAAAAGTTTCCATTTAGTTAAAAATGGGCTAACTTAAATTGAACTTGAAAATGGTAAATGAAGTGTATAGAACATGAAAATTCCCATTTCAGACTTTTGCGTTTTTTGCGCACTTTGGCTTTCGAAACAAAATTTCTCGATATTTTTGCATTAAAGCTCTTTTCATGGAAATGAGAACTTAGTAATTCGCATTGTAAGTGAACTTACTTGTCCCGCGATACTGTGATATAACCGTCAAACCTTACTCGAAGACTGAATTTTTGTTACCATAATGAAATCTTCCATTTAAAAACTGATAAGAACAAAAACAGGCTTTTATTAAAAGTCAAAACTTGTCTATCTAATACAACACACAATTAGGTTAGTTGTGAATTTGTTGAAGAACAGAGTGACCTTAAATCGGGAGTTAATTACCTCCAAGTATCCCTAATTCGAAAAATGCAAAGAAAATGGTTGCGAAAATGAAGTGTGCGATTATTGCGGAAGCTATAATAAAAGTGACCATAAAATGAATAAAGAGAAAAAGAGGACACTAAATCACTGCCGATGGCTCAAGTACGATCGAACAAAGAATAAGATATAAATTGAGTTTTATGAAGTTTGTTTGATTCCTTAAATACGTAGAGAAATCTGCTTGCGAATAATGCAGCATCCATTTACCATTAAACAAAGTTTTTATTTTTGCCAAGGTATCATTAACTCTAACGTTTCCGTAAGTGCTTACTGGAAAACGATGATGTATCTGAGCTAAAATTCCCAAAAGCTTGATAAGATAGTAGACTTAGAATCTTCGCTCCTGCTTTCTCCTGGAGATGATGGCAAGAGTACCCTTGAAGGGCTTGATTAGGCAATGTCAGAGGGAGACAATACATCAACTTCCTTTAGAAAATTCCAGGCGAAATCCTCTTTTACCGCTTCCATTCTCACTCCTCCTCCATTGTTGCTTGGATCCACTTTTGAATTTCTTCTCGTCTCTTTCTACCCTATTGTGTTTTTCGCACCTACCGACCAAATGAAAGTGGGGCGATAGATTAGAAACCAAGCATCCAAACATTACCTTTCGTAAAAATTCACTTAGTAACATACGCTGTTTAAAATCTGATTTTATCTACTATTTTAAGATAAGTAAGGCGTTTTTTTGGAGAGGTTTTAAGGGGTAGAAGACATTTTAATTTTTTAATAGAGGTCAAAGCCAAATTTGTGCTGGTTAAACGTAGATCATATAACCACATGAAGGACACCTGGATGCATTACAAAAGGTTGTCAAGTTCATTTCTTTCAAAACAACTTTAACATTGGCATATGTGTGAGAAAGGCAATTTCTTAATTCCTAATCTTAAGGGGTTTATGAAAAAAAATATTAAATGGGCAGTCGTTTATGTCGCTCCGTCCATTCTTAAAATGCATAAATTTAGAGGCTACATAACATTCAAGTACTAGCTGATTACAATTATTTAGTACTTTAAATTATCTAAGATGTAACAGAGATAGAAAACCATACTGATTGGAAAGGCCAGCATATTGGTATACACTGCTGTAGGACAAGGCTGCTTTATTCTCCTATTCTCTGGCTTTTATACCCTTAGAAACGCCGGTTGATTTGGCTTTGCCGTGGTCATTTCTTTGAGTAAATGGAGGACGGGTACGAGTTTGGGAAGATTTGTCACGGAACCTCTCTCTGGCTTGGGAGATGCTGACCGCTCCTCAGTCAGGAGGTTGGATTCATCTGCCCGCCTCCCCTCTGAAAGGAACATTTTAAGCAACATAAGTGTTACACTACAATGGAGGATTCTTACAGATATATATTAATCTATGAGGTCTGCATTAATTAATTAATTCAGTAACGTTGTATCTAAGGCATTTAAGATGTCTCAAAACGTTATCACGTTGTATCAATCTATAAAAAAAAGTTGAGGTATTGTTAGTATGATGGACCTGAGTATAGTGTAGTGCCTCGAGACTTTCCTTGGGCTAATCGTATGACCCAGAGGTCAGACCTCCCGGCAAATGTATAATGGCTAAGGCAAAAATTGACCCTTTACTTAAACCGAGAGTTAAGTAACCAACTTATTACAATAAAATTATCTCGGAACACAAATAATCTTGCATTTTAAATAGTTTAACATTTGTTGTCCGCTCCCTACTGAGAACTTTGATCCTAGTATTTTTCACATTTCTTCTTTTGTCATGATCGTCAACAGTTTTTACTGCATTTATCACCAATTTTCTTAAAGGCATGACATTACCTTTTTTCATAAAGAGGTTGTGCTCTGTTTTGGTGTTTTATTTAACAATGTGTCACCCTTACTTCTGTTCTTTGGTATGGCCCTCTACCCACTCTAGTATCCTCCTACCCCTTTTTGACCCTAGTAAGGTGGCTTCCGTCATACTACTGTGGTACATTACAATCTAAGGAAAGACTCGAGGCTCCATTATTGTTCTCTATTTCATTCGTGCTAGTAGGTGATGTGCATTTAGATTGGCATTTTTTGGTAAAGGACCAATGTAAAACCCTTGCTATTGACTACAAAATGGGGGTGAGTCCCTTATGTCAATCGTTTTTCACAGGAGCAGTCGTGTAAAAGCAGCATGAAGAACAGGTATCCTTTTCTCAGATGGTGATATTAATTACTGTACCAATGATGCTTTAAGGAGTAGTTAAAGTCTCGTTTTAGTCACCAGTCCCTTCAAATTTAGCCATCTTCAATCAAAACCTTCCTATGGATTCCAGTGAGCTAAATATGGAATTGTTACTGCTTCAGCAGATTCCCTCATTAATGTTATTAGTGCAGTTTGATGGGTGAGTCGTGCAGACTGAAATACTTCCGCAATCAGTTATATAATTTGAACTGGTGGCACTACAGCACCCAATGGTTGCATCGCCTAACCCACCCAAACATGAGTGACTTGGGTGTCGAGGGCACGCGAATATAGCCTAATGGAATGAGCATGAGTGTAAATTATTCTGTCGAATCAGCTCTTGCAAGGCGAGTAGGAAGTTTTACATACATTCTAAACTGCACTATAAAAACTAATAGTTATGTTTTATTCGGAGCACGCTAAAGTTATTTAATGTCCCATAGGTTACAAATGCTAACTAGGAATTCTCGAAACATTCCTGAACTTTATTGTTGCTAAAAGACCTCTTTTTCTTACCCGGAGGCAAGGTTTCCCTTGTTAAATAAGTTCAACTAAGAGCAATGCTTTGTGTTGCAACCTTGCTAATTATACTCCAGCGATGTAGTGTCCAAAAGATTTCTTCTGTAAAACAACAAGCAACTCATAATCAAGTGATAATATTTTTATAGGCGTACAAAGAATCCATAACCTTTATTTCCATTTTTAATCACACGCATAATTTTTAACGCATTGCCATACGTAAAATAGATTATGTATGTGTTATTGTTTTCCAACTCACGGTTTTGAAGCATACGTTAGTAAAGCACCCAAAACATATATTTGTGGAGTGCCAAGTCTTCAAGGGAGTCGTAATACGTCCCAGTGGTATGGCAGAATATATACCGCTAATACTCAGAAGGCCTGGGAGGCTATTAGCATGGCTCTAAGGTCAGGCAGCAGAGTGGAATTACATCCTTTTAAAGTGCCCACGTAGATAAATACAGCTAAAAAATATCATTTATCTGCATACCTCTTGGAGTACTTCGCTTTATTAATTTAAGGTCTTTCATTTGTGCGAGTATTTCCACTCATTTATTTATTTTACAAATTATATTCACCTTGGACTTATCGGATTCTAAAATCGCTAAGGCCGCTTAAGTCTTTCCTGGGACCTGTAGCAAAGAGAGCTACTAAATTTTAATGCAAGCATAGAGGCATGTGGTCCCCGCTTCAGTGAGACATCCCAATGATCTCATTGTACCTAAATTTTTGTCCCTTTTGTGAATTATTAGAAAAGGAGATTGCACTGGCTTTAGGCAGCTTAGGACTGGGCGGTGCTTCAATCTCTATCGACGGGAATTTACCCAGATGCAGTTTTATTTAATAAAAGACAAAAATTAAAATAACTCAGCAAGGTCAACATGGTGCTTTCACTTACTTTACTATCATCTCAGAGCTGTCCAGCTGTCTGTTTGGGTTGCGGTCAATTGGAATTGACGGTGAATAAATGATATCATTACATAATTAGCATCTTGGGACAACTACCCTAAATAGCGCTATTAAGGACTTTTCCAGACCGTTCCTGTCTGACAGCCTCGAGTCCTATTAGCCTTTTTAAGGAATATGAAATTTTAGTAATTACCAAAGGTTTCTGCCCTCAGATACAGCCATTCTCCTTTCGTGATGACAAATTTTGATATTCAGGATATTTGTGCTAGCAGATCGAGTTCACCTGCTGTTACGGCTAATGTAGCGCCTCAGGTGTCTCTTGCAGCCGTTGTAAACTTTGTAAAAGACTTATTATAGTATGAAAAGGCTGAGTGGCTATGGTCATGCCTGGACGGCCATGAGGCGAGACTTAAGTAGACACCGTCAAACACTAGGGGTTTATTTAGGCAAACAAGCGCCAAGACAAATATCAAAGTAATACATGGAAAGTTAAGCTTATTTAATCATACATTTTAATTCATTGAACATCTCCTTGCTCATAAGGTTTTTATCTTGGTCGACACATACTTATCCCTTTAATAAAATAAAATCTAGGAATCCTCTAAAGGCATAACACTAGGAGAAATCATTATGCATTTTCCATTCTCTACTATTTTTTAGCTTTCGGACCTTTTTTTAAAGAGGAATATCAAATTCTTTTTTTACTGCTTTTACTAAATATTTTTGGAAGCAATCCGATTTAATTGCTTTTAATTTCAAATTAACTTCATCTACGATTCTGGAAGACTGTATAAAATTGTACCATTTATACATACTTTATTTTCAAATTTCACTGCCTTTACATGCATACATTCAATGCCTATCTTTCACATTAAGTTAGCGTCTGAGTTGGTCCCAATCGACTGCGAAACATACAAACCTGGGTGTAGCTTGATGAAAACAGGAAAAGAAGTTGTCAAATGGGTAGGATGCCTTGCCAGCAACGTGAAAATCATTTCGTGAGGGACCGAAGAGGCTGACAAATTCATGCATACACTAGAATACAGTTCCGCCACGCTAATGCCTACCGTAAATATCCATTACGAAATACGGCGACGTATAAACTAACAAATTAGCAAAGTACACTGAAATTTTCCAAATCAACAACCTTTTTCCAAATTTCACCAATTTCTTAGGAAACCCTATCGCTTTGTGTGTGAATAGCATAATGCTAACAGCTTGCTTTAATTGTATGAAGGTTGCTGCAATTAATTCTTCCGGACAACCTACCGAACTCCCACACTCCTCAGGCAGCGATTACTTCCCAACGAAGATGAATCGTGATGGCTGATGCGTTTGGTGATACCTACAAAAAGCGGAGACCAATCTAATACCTCATTAAACCCGATAATTTAAGCTGGTTAGATTCGATCTGAATCATGTAAAATAAGACAAATCGTTAATAAATCCAAGTAATACATGAATTCTGCTAAATTTCCTACTGATAAATTTGCCATTATATTAATTTAAATGTTGCGGATTTAAGTACCTATGTGGTTGTGATCAAATAGAACCCATTCTTGCAGGAATATGATATTTTTCTACTAAGCACAAGCCGTAAGTGTTATTTTAGCATTTGTCGTGCCAACTTTATGAAACCTAAATCCAATATTTAGCAAATCACTAGAGCCCGGGACATAAGCTAGCGCTCCAAATTCGAGATAAGCTGCACCACTATAAAAGGTGGTTAAATACTAATTCACAGAGTGACCATGAGACTATAGGCACTGAAGGAGGGCACCGAAGAGTCCGCGACGTTAAATACGCTATTAAGTGATCACCAAACCACTGCAATGCATTCCTTTGGATATTCATTATTTCTGCTAGGAGATGGCACATTCATATTTACATTATTTAAAACTGTTATCTGTTAAAATTGAATAGAAATAATTTTCCCGACTGCCTGAAATGATGTATGCTTTTTATTATAAATGGTTACTAGATCACTAAACAGTGGTAAAAGGGCAAATCCACCTGTTGGTCCCAGCCACCATAAGTCCAATCAGAACAAGTCTCCAAGTAAAACATTTTCATAGTAATGGAGAACACAATACACTTTGATCTCATAAAGTCACTTCTGAAAAGGTGTCGACCACAAAGTAATCAACAGAATTTGGGAAAATTCCAAATCTATTTAATAGTTTATTTACTCGGAATAAATGGGTGTTTGATTTTGTGGACATTGGCGTAAAGTGGAGATACCTCTAAAAGCACCTAATCGACATCTCACCTTTCTGGTTTCATGATTTACGCGTGATGTTAAGTGGTGACCTCATTTCAATGCCTGTACCTAATATCAGTAGTGTTATAAATCAAGATTCAATCAGAATGCATCCTAAGGTTATTGTGATTTTCAACCAATAATTAAGGGGACATTATTTTACTGTGTAAAATACTTCACACCTGAACTGGAATTCTAATGCAACTTAAATGCATTTGATGTTCTCATCTTACTGGCTGATTTGTTTGCTTACCTTCTTAAAGAAAAACCGTTGTACCACATTAAGTTCTTCTAACATCTATTGGCTATTTCTTTAATCATTACGCTTTTAATAATAAAATTCAGAAACCCATTCTGACTGATTATCAGCAGTCCCTCATGCTTATTTAAAATATCACAAACACCCACGTGATGCAAAGGTAATAGTCGGGGAGTTCGCTGGAGCGTGATTCTTCATTAGGTTACGACGTCACAGTTTATTAAGCACCAAAGCGACAGCACCAATAGAATCACACGACAAGTAAGCCTGCCCTGCGTGGTCAATGACATTGGTTGAAATGCAGTGACTTAAGTATACATAATACAGAGTGTTTGGCAGTGCCTTCTAAAACGCTATACCTGCTCCCTTCAGAAGCTCATAAAAAACTCACAGTAGACCAAAGCAATCATGCCAGAGATTCGAACGATGGATAGAATGTGTGGTCACCAGAAACAGGCCCATGAGCGTCCTCTTGCTGCTCCGCAGCAGAAGATCTACACCTCCGACATGCTGCCCTCTTCCCCGGTGCCCAAACGTCGACACGGCTTCAGAAGACTCTTTGAAAAGAAGTCAAAGAAAGGTGGCATAGTAGCGACTTAAGTGACCCTTACCTGCTCATCGCCCATCGCTACAAGCAAATGTACTTCATTTTTCTTTCCTTGTTTGTAT